CATAGAATTTGTAAACCCACGTCTAATGCTACTTTCTTAAATTATACAAAACCAAACCTTAGGAACAATAAAATTTAAAACTTTTAGTAGTGCCTTATAGTTAAATAGGAGTTAATGCCATTAAGACATTTGCAGTTCTAATAATACCAAAATATTTACTGAAAAGCAATAATTACATTTTTATTTTTTGAATAATTGAAGCAATAACAATTCAAGGTTACGTTTAGTTACGGTTGAACCATTCGTTAATGCTTTGTGGGCAGTGTTTATAGGCTGAACTGGCTTTTCATGTTGCATGAAAATATTGTCTGGAAATCCTCAGGCCTTATTCATCAACATTACTGTCATCAATTCAGTCATATTGTCCTAGCTGTAAAGTTATATACTATCCCACTATAACAAAACTCGTAAAGCAAAATACATGGAGTCACAGATTTCAATGGCAAGCTTTGTATCATCAGACACGTAGTACAATGAATGTAATGTATTTATGTATATCTACAAATTCACAAGGAATACCAAGTGGACAGAAAGCAGAAGCAGCAGTTCTCTTTATGAAACTATCATCAAAAATACTTTAAAAAATCATTTCAGTATGCAATTAATTTCCAAAAATGGGACAAAAGTTATGTCTAATTCATGGGGCTCTCTTTAGTGGCGCACATCTGTCTTTTCTCCTTTAACAGCAGTAAAGTAGATGAGTGACTTTTGAGGGTATCCAAAAATAACTCACTGAATCCTTCTTCGAGCTCTTTTATCCTGATATAGAGAATATTTAGAAAAAAAAGAGAAAAGGAGTAAGACTCTTGTCTAACATTGTCCTCTAAAAGTTTGGTGTATGCTGAAAATGAAATTGCTATGCACGTTTACACCAAAACTTCTTCTCAGATTTTGAATTTATGTACATTTGAATCTATATTTGAAGATATCTCATTCAAATTCATTTTCTTTTAACAGTAACCAAAATCATGTCAAATCCGTGGGCCACCTTCACTGTTCTTTTGAAGTGGAAAATATTGCAGTAACAGATACAACTCACTAATTTAATAGAGCATTAAAAAAGCTGGAAGGTCATGTTTTTGTAGTTTCAGAGCAGAGGATAACATGCTTCTTAACTGTAAAATTAATGACCACAGTTCTAACTCATAAAACGTCTTTCCCATTCAACAGTCTATTAGAGGATGCAAGCAATCAGTGAGTGTGTGTCAACTGTAAAATAAAATGCATGAAGCTGATTGGTCAGCAGGGGCGGTTCAACCCATTACGCAAAGTAAGCATTTGCAGTATAGTTGATTTTTCCCAGGGGCGCTCTTGAGGCGCTCTTGGGAGAACATAGACCTTGACATATGTGAGTTGTAGTTACTGGGATGTATAGTTCACCTACAAAGAGCATTCTGAATTCCACCAATGATGGAATTGAACCAAATATGGCACACAGAACTCCCACGACGAACAGAATATATATAGCAGTGATTGGTTGGGGGGGGGGGCAAAATACTGTTTGCTTACCATTGAAAATTACCTAGGGCCACCTCTGTTGGTCGGGCAATGCATGGGGTGATAGCTGAGCCTAGAACTTTTAGATAATGTTGCAAGTTTGTTCAGGCTCAGACTATGCAGGTGCAGAGAAGCAGTTGGAAGAGAGGAGAGAGAGTTGCAGACTGGTTTGGACAAAAAAAATACCATTTTAAATCTCTCTGAAAGGATATTTAGTGAGTTGATGCAACTGATCATATCGTGCATATGTTATTCTGAATTAAGAAGAGTAACTACTTGTTCTTTAGTGTTCATCTGCGTGGCATAGTTTCTTTCCTTGGCAAGGCAGTGTGTGGGCTGATCCAACATGAATTACACACCGTTTATTTTACATTCCACCACACAGTCTGCATTTTACTGCCTGACATATTAAATATTTTTAATTTCTCCATGAAGGGGGACATGTTAAGTGAAGTGTAAATCCAGAGGATCTCGATGATGATGATGCATTTATTACCCACCTCTCCTGCGGCTCAAACTGGGGTACATTATTAAAACAAGGGATAAAACACTATTAAAAGAAAAACAATGATACACACTGAGTTAAAATCCACTGATGAAATCCAGATTAAAATTCCCAACATAAAATAAACCCCTGTTGGCTGTATCCTCTCCAAAACAGTGATCAGAAGCGATGCCATGTTACTTCCAGTTGCCATTATGCCAGGATACTGGCAAAGGAGGAAAGGAAAGTTCTGGGTGTTGAGTGTGGTTCAACATTTTTAAAAATTTTGACATGGTTTTCTGGCAAATTATGTAAATTATTCTTGTAAATTATGCCAAAAAATAGGAACAGTCAAAAAGAACTTTGGGGAACTGTGGGGAGAGTTTGATCCACAAAAATAGGGCTCAGAGGTGCAAGTGCCCTGTGGACCATGCAAACATCTCTGGTTACAGTTTGCTAAAATGAGAAGGCCCTCTCTTTTTATAACACATAGGATTAAGTCCCAATTAATATAACTTGTTATATTTCTGCTTTTAAAAATTATGGAAATTGCTGGCATATAGAATTCCGTTTTGTGTGCAAGTCAGATAAGTGTACATATCTCTATAAGATTAAATTTGCCAGCATTGCTTTAAAATTATATATCGTGCCCAGTATTGTTTCAATAAAATATTTTTTTCAAACTATAATTTTCTGATATCTCATTTCTCCAAAATGACTAATTCCCCAAAGAACACACACACACCCCTCCTATGGCAAAGACCATATGTCCACATGTCAGTATATTTCATAGAGCTGCCGACTTAGTGCAAATGGATGTCAGAATATTTCAATATGTAGGGAAGATTACGGGTTAAAGTGATTTCCTTAGGTTAATTTGTATCCTATCTAAAATTGTGATCCAGAACAGATGTAATGCCAACTAAAAATGGTGAATTGAAATCATGCTTCAGAAATGGAGCACTCTCTCATCTCTCTTCCTTTCCAAATATAATCCAGAACTAGTATTATTTCTGCAGTTTTATATACTTTATGTGGAGAGGGAGAAATACATAAACAACACTTCTGACAGGTTTGCCCTGGATTCCAAAAGAATGCAATTACAGTCAGCTGTCCACATTCGCAGGGGTTAGTGGCACCGGACCCCCGTGAAATTGAAAAACTGTGAATTACTATTTTTATCATTGATAGGCAGAAATATCTTTATGTTATTTATTCTTTCATAAGAGCTGCCAGAGCTTGGAAAATTCCCAAATTAAGCCTAGTGTATGTGTGTGTGTACGTGGTGGGGGTGTTGGTTATCTTATTGTATCACGGAAAGGAACAAGGACTTGAATGAGAGGATATAGTTTTTAGTTTTTCATATTGTTATTATGCACTGTCTTATGTCTAATTGCACTATAATGGTTCTTTTTGTTTATCAATGTATGTATTTTTATGGCATCGAATTGTGCCGATTGTGTACGCCGCTCTGAGTCGCCTTCGGGCTGATATGAGCGAGGTAGAAATAATGCAAATAAATAAAATAAAATAAATAAGAAAATTATTTGACTTGTTAGATATGTCTTCCTGCATTTTGAAGAATAAGAACATGAATTAAGAATGTTTTCAAAGAGATAGCTCTATGACACTGGCTTTACACACAGTAGAATTCATACAGTTTGACACCACTTTAACTGCCATGGCTCAATACTTTATTTATTAATTATTATTTCCAACATTTCTACCCCGTCCTTCTCAACCCCCGAGGGGGGACTCAGGGCAGCTTACAACTAGCAACAATTTGATGACGCAACATACAAACAAATATAACAAATATAACAACAATTTAAAACAATATATAAAACATTAAGTTAAAAACAAAAAAACAATATTATCAAACCATCTACCCATTTCCAGTTCAATTCAACATCCAAAGTGCTGTTATGCCTGCTGTCCAAAAGCCTGGTCCCAAAACTATGCGTTAAGTTTCTTCCTAAAAGAAAGGAGGGATGAAGCCGACCTAATCTCTCTGGGGAATGAGTTCCACAGGTGGGGAGCCAACACTGAGAAGGCCCTGTCCCTTGTCCCCGCCAAACGCCTTTGCGAAGCTGGCGGGACCGAGAGTAGGGCTTTTTTGGGCGATCTCAAATTGTGAGGCAGGACATAGAGGGAGATATGTTCAGACAAGTAAGCTGGGCCAGAGCCATATACGGCTTTATATGTCAAGACCAGCACTTTGAATTGCCCTTGGAAATAGACTGGCAGCCAGTGGAGTTGACACAACAGTGGGGTGGTATGCGCCCTGTATGTCGATCCAGTGAGTAATCTGGCCGCAGCCCATTGGACTAGTTGAAGTTTCCAAACAGTCTTCAAAGGCAACCCCATGTAGAGTGCGTTGCAGTAATCCATTTGGAATGTAACGAGCGTGGACCACTGTGGCCAGATCAGACTTCCCAATGCTTTGAAATCCTGGGGATTGTTGTTTGGTGAGGAACCAGAATTTATTGGCAAGACCTTGTCAAACTCCCAACTCCAATAATTCCATAGCAGTGGGTGATGGCTTTTAAAGTACTGTCAAACTGTATTAATTCTACAGTGTAGATACTACCTTAGTCTGTCCTTTTAAAAAATTAAGGGGTTGGGATTGAAAGAAATCCAATTACTATTAGCACAAATCTCTATGGATGTCAGTCTTTCATATGCATCAATATCCAAGCCACTGAAGATGTTTTAATAATTCCCCTTTACTGTATAAATAAACGAAATTTTCTAGTAGGGCTGAATCTAATTCTCTTTGCTGACAGAAAGCTTCCATCAGTGGACTGGATATGATGAATTCTCTTTCCTCGTTGTGTTGGCAGATGCCTTCTTTCAACAAAACATTCACCCCTAAATATAATCCACAGTGGTTCTCCAGTACATATTATTGAGCTAAATTAATTAAGAGTGGAATGGGAAACAACTGAGGAACTGAAAGTAGAAAGAAGTTCAATTTGCTCAAAGCAGGTGTCTTATTTTCTCTCTCTTTTCTTTGCAGCAGTCAACAACTGATTTGAGGACTCTGCGGAAAGGGTTATCCCCGTACCATTCGGAGTCCCAGCTGTCATCACTGCCACAGTATCAGGATGCCATGCAAAATGTAAGATGCACACAGCTAACTACTTGTTATAATTGTTCTGGTGGGTGTCTTAGAAAAGGAGCCACAGCTTAACCCAAGAATGTACATTTCTAATTGATTGGAACTAACTTCAGCACTCTAAAAACTGGAACTCTATGGACAAAACAGAGTTGCTTAGTTGACTGTTCAATCTGTGTATATTTCCTTTTGTTATTGTGCACTTAATATTGTTTGCACTTAATAGCACATATAGGGAAGCACTTGCTATGAATGGTGCCATGGAATGTGAGGATCACATGGCTGAATCTTTGAGATCCCAAAGTGTACTAGAGTACGATCCCTATATCCGTATGATCACCTCTCATATCAGACAAAATATGCTATTTTTAGGAAATTTTGTGATATGATTTCACTGGAAGTTGCCATAGAGTTGTGTTGGAGAACCTAGCAAATTCTTACATTCTTAGATTGGATAAATTACTGTTGTTTACTTCCTTGGAACTTTGTATTTAAACCGGAATTGTTTCTTTGTAGTCTATGAGTTTATGTAACTCACACATTACTTTGCTGTTTTCTGAAGGATCTTTGCTGAAATAGAATATTTTGCTATTATATCTTAGATGCCTCTTTTTTATAATTCCGGTGACATCTATAACTATAGACACAATGGTGTTGATGATGACTTAAAAGCACTTCAAAATGTTTGTTTTCCAAATATTTATCTAGGCCTTCTTGAACGCTTTCCTGTTGGAATTGAATTGTTGGTAAATGGTTTTGCATAACAAACACAGCCTGTAAAACTTCCCAAGGATTTGCTATTATCAAGCAGTTTTTCACAAGATGCTATAAATTGTGATTGTTGCATATCTACCAGTGCCAGTGCATTCGGAAACTTAAGGATTTGGGGAGAAGATAACAGTTTAAAGGAAGAAACAATGATGTTGTCTGTACAGAAAGGAAGAGCACTGATTAGATATTCAAGGGCGTAGAACCAAGGACACGCTTATTCCATGCAAGAATAGTTTGTTCAAAGAGGTCTTTTTGGGACCTGCACTGAGGCCAGAGAAAATTCAAGGTATGATGATCTGATTTAGGAATATTTTCAGGTCTTTTTAGTCAAACAGAAGGCTAGGTTGAAGGTGACTCAGAGCCTGAGGTTTGGTTTATGGATGATGCTGATTTGACAGCAAAGAACATTTGTTCCTTACCTTAGACTCCTGGGATGCATGTGAGGTGAATACTCTTATACAATCTACTTGCTTTCATATCTCCATATCATTGCTTATGCAATTTCATAATAGAGTACTGTATATCATCACGTATAAGTTGATCCCAGGTATAAGTCAAGGACAGTTTTTGGGGGGAGATTATGGATTTTGATATAGAATGATAAAAACATGGAATCCTAGAGTTGGAAGAGACTTCATGGGCCATCCAGTCCAACCCCCTGCCAAGAAGCAGGAAAATCTCATTCAAAACACCCCTGACAAATAGCCATCCAGCCTCTGATTAAAAGCCTCCAAAGAAGGAGCCTCCATCATACTCCAGGGCTGAGAGTTCCACTGTTGAACAGCTCTCACAGTCAGGAAATTCTTCCTAATATTCAGGTGGACTCTCCTTTCCTGTAGTTGAAGCAATTGTTCCACGTTCTAGTCTTCAGGGCAGCAGAAAACAAGCTTGCTCCCTCCTCCCTATGACTTCTCCTCACATATTTATACATGGCCATCATGTCTCTTCTCTTCTGCAGGCTAAACATGCCCAGCTCTTTCAGCTGTTCTTCATAGGGCTTGTTCTCCATACCCTTGATCATTTTGATGGCCCTTCTCTGGACACATTCCAGCTTGTCAACATCTCCCTTCAATTGCGGTGCCCAGAATTGACCACAGTATTCCAGATGTGGTCTGACCAAGGCAGAATAGAGGGGTAGCATGACTTCCTTTCGTTATAACTTGAAGGTCATTTTGCAGAGAGGGGAAAGTGCCAGCACAATCTCAGGGGGTCAGCCATCCCTAGATGCTGCCACTGCGATTTTCATACCCAGGTATTCAAAAAACCCTTTTGCCATTCTACATACTCAGAGAAAGGGATGGTTCCCTTTCATATACATACACAAGCACACAAACTCCCTCGGAGCTTCTTTCAGCTAATCCCAGGATAGAATAAGCTCTCATATTTTACTACTCAGCACAGAGAAGGATGTGATGATGATGGTGGTGGTGGTGGTAATGGTGATGGTGATGATGATGATAGCCCAGACTGATTACATTGAATATCACAACAGGTTATCAACAATGGTGCACTGGAACCTTTGCAAGAAGTATGACTTTCATAGATGCCTCCAAGGTCATGTGGCTGGCATGACTGCATGGAGAGCTGTTGCCTTCCTGCCGAAGTGGTACCTGTTGATCTACTCACATTTGCATGTTTCAAACTACTAGGTTGGCGGAAGCTGAGGCTAACAGCAGGAGCTCACCCTGCTCCCAGCATTCGAACCACTAATTTTTTGATCAGCAAGTTCAACAGCTCAGTGGTTTAACCCGCTGTGCGAACAGGGGCTCCTGTGATGTTATATATATGTAAATAATAATAATAATAATAATAATAATAATAATAATAATAATAATGGGAAGTGTCCAATGTGTGATCAAATACAAAAGACAGGATAATTATCTTTTTTGCTGAGTACCAATCTTATTGTGCATCAAATAATAATAATAATAATAATAATAATAATAATAATAATAATAATATATTTATTCCCTGTCTCTCCTTGTGGCTTGAGGCAGGATCCTAAAAACAATTCAAAACACTTCATATTCAAGTTTGTTAGCTGAAAGCAGAACTTATAATCTGTAGTGTGTTATACAGAATAATACTGTAAAATGCATATTTATCATATTAAGGTACTAGGGAATTTGACAGGCAACAAAGAACTGCATGAAAGAATGGGAGAAAGGGGTGGAAATATGGCTATAGCTTGTTTAGGAAACACAGGAGCTTCCATACATTCTGTACTTGACTTAGGAGCAAAGAAATAGCAACCTGTGTCCCTCTAGAAATTTTTGGACTTCAACTCACAGCTACGATAACAAAAAATCACAGCAGCTTGACTTTAAATGGATTGTACATATGTGTTGTCCTGTAATCTTTTGATATAGAATAAGATATATATGCAAATAAATAAATATAGGCATGTCTGCATACAGAATGGAAGATACATGTTCTAACAAATAAAATAGACTCCCTTTCCTTATATTAAGTAGGCACGTAATATATCTTAGTACTTAACAGCCCTTTTCATGTGGTATTTCCACTCAGCCTAACACTAGTAGCACTTCCTACATTCCACACATTTCTCCCAGTACCCAAGATGTATAAAGTGAGCTACAACAAGAAACTATGTAAGATATTTCAAAAGCTCCCTGCTGTTTATCTTAAAGTTTAGAACAGGCCCAAATGAATGCGTAAGAAGATTTCATTCACACTGGACACTGAATTGCCAAAGCACCAACTTCATCAAACATACGACATGCCAGAGATTAGTAAACGGAGAGTTACATCTGCCCCTCTCCTAATTCTCTGGAAACGTTTTATGGATAGCAAAGCAAAGCAAATCCATAGATCTTGTCAAATGTCTGGTTGTGGCTGCTAAACTAAAATTATGAGATGCAAAGGCATATGCATATACAATTTTGAGCACAATTTTCCTTTTAACCAAATTTAGGTGAAGAGCCTAAATACCCTAAAGGTACCAGATCCTGTCTGATCTTGGAAGCTAAACAAGGCCAGCCCTGGTTCTAACTTGAATAGGAGACCACTAATTAATAATAATAATAATAATAATAATAATAATAATAATAATAAGCAGGAAAAACTCAGCTGTTATGAAGACCTCAAAATCGAACTGCAAAGGCTCTGGCATGAACCAGTACAGGTGGTTCTTTGTGGTCATTGGCACACTGGGTGCTGTGCCAAAAGATCTCAGCCAGCATTTGGAAGCAATAAACATTGACAAAATCACGATCTGTCGACTGCAAAAGGCCACCTTACTTGGATCTGTGCACACCATTCGAAAATACATAACACGGTCCTAGAAGCTTGGGAATTGTTCGACATGTGATTTTGTAATGTAAAATCCAGCATATAGATCTCGTTTGCTTTGACATACTGTATTTTTGTGTCAGTAAAACAGTAATAACAATAATAAACAACTTTATTTATAGACTGCCCTCTCTCCCCAAGAGGACTCAAAGCAGTTTACATACAAAAAGGCAAACATTCAATGCCGTAGTCAACAAAAGCACACCAATCAAAACAATACCAAACAGCATCAGTAAATCTATAGTTACTAAGAAAAAATAAAAGTAAAAATAAATAATGAAAACTATAAATATTTAAATAAAATATAATTATACTAAAAACACACGAGTCCTAAGAAAATGCCTAAGAAAGTGCCTAGCATATCAATAATAATTTAAAAATTGTACTGCAGCAGCCCATAAGATTCAAGTAAATTTGCCAGCGTTCCAGTGAGATTGGCTTAAGATGTGCTAGTCGTCGTCCTCTCCATACACTATAGTTCATAAGTGTGTTTTCAAAAGTTTTTCTTTAAAGGAGAGGAGGATGGGGGCCATTTTTATTTATTTGGGGAGGGAGTACCATAAGTGAGTGATCTTGGAGAAGGCCCCCTCTCTTGCTCCCACCAACCCCGCATGAGACAGAGGTGGGACCGAGAGCAGGGCCTCCTCCACTGATCGTAGTGCATGAGGTAGTCTATATAGGGAGATGCGGTTTGACAGACAAATATCTGGATCAACTTATCAAACTGCCAGTGTAAATACTTTACCTTAACTTTATTAATTTTAGCTTGTGAATTTTAATGGTTTTTATATCAACAACAGCAACAAGGCACACAAAACCAAAAGTAGTAAACTGATTGTAGACTTTCTTATTCAGATTGTAGGCTTTCTTATCCAGGAGTGCCCTATAGCTGGGCCAGTATCAGAATCATAAATGTCCTT